CATCGTTGTCACAATACATTATGTCCATCGGATGCGAACAAACGCTTTTCATACATACATTTTTTTCGCGAGCGCATGTTCAGGTCATTCGAGCGCTCTTGCGCGCGTGTTGTCGGACAAATTCGCCGGCCCAACGGGCCAGAGGCGTGCTAAGATCTCCGGTAACTTGTTAACCATATTTCTAGTTCGCGCGCGCGGAGCGGCCCCTGGGGGCCCCCGGACGAAAAGTACCCCGGCAAGGTCCCGAGAGAAGCCCGGGAGAAGCCACCAGACCACTCCAGGGGAGGGTATTTTTCGACACCCCTCACGAGGATCGTGGCCTCCGAGGGGGGAGCCGCAATCGACTACCCCCAAGAGCCCCCCAAGAGGCCCTGGGGGCCTCCAAAACGCCGCCAAGGAGCCCCAAGAGACTCCCAAGAGGTCCCCAAGAGGCCCCCAAGAGGCCCTAAAGAGGGCTCCAGGGCCGGCGGCATGAGCGAAGCGATTAAATTAATGATTTGGGCATTCTCGCCGAGGCCACTTGGAGCGTCGTCTTGGGTGCCTCTGGGGGGCCTTTTGGGGCCTCGTGGGGGTCTCTTGGGAGCCTCTTGCATCCTGGGGGCCTCTTGGGGGCCTCTTGGGGCCTCCTGACCACCTCTTGCGGCCCTTTTGGGGCACCCTTGGGAGCCTTGGGAGCGTTCTTGGGGCCATCTCGGAGGAGATCGATCAAAGAAGGGAGGGTCCCTAAGTAGCCTTCCCCCGCCACGAGGCCAAAATGGGGCCAAAACCTTAGTAGAACAAGTGATTGTGGCTTCCTCGCCGAGGCCGTTTTAGGCGATCCGACCGCTCGCGGAACGCCCCATCCAGGTCCAGGGGAGGGGTAGGGGGAGGGGTCAAGACTCCCTTCCCGCCGGCAAGCCGTCTCGCTCACTCCCACCCGCCCTCCCAACACATACGTTGCACCCGAACCTGGCCCGAGCCGCAGCATATGCAGCAGTCGTCTTTGGATGGGCAGCTACTGGGAGCGAATCCGCCGCCGCCGCCTCCGCCGCCGCCGCCGCCGCCGCCGCCCGCCGCCGCCGCCGCCGCGCCGACGCCGCCGCTGTCCGCCGCTGTCCGCCGCCGCCGCCGCCGCGCCGCCGCCGCCGCCGTCCGCCGCCGCCGCCGCGCGCGCCGCCGCGCGCTTCCCGCCGCCGCCGCCGCCGCCGCGCCGCGCGCCGCCGCCGCGCCGCTGCCCCGCAGCCGCTGCCGCCACCGCTGCCGCCGCCGCCGCACCGCCGCCGCCGCCGCCACCGCCGCCGCCGCACCACCGCCGCAGCCGCCGCAGCCGCTGCCCCCGCCGCAGCCGCCGCAGCCGCCGCCGCCGCCAAGTGTACTCTGCATTGTTGTTTGACAGGGATGGTGGGGGGAGGCCGCATCGGGTTCGCTGCGCATGCTCCGAATTTGGAGGCAGAGTGTGTGTGGTACTGTTTTTTACAAGGGATGGTGGGGGGGTGCCCTCATTGACTCGGGTTGGCTCCCAGTTGCCTGGGGGAGGGGGTGGACATTAATAGGGAAAGTGATAAACCCCTCCCCGAAGGGGAAGAGGGAGGGGTGGAAGAGGAAACGCCCTAAACCACCTACGCCCAGAGGGCTGGTGGAATTACACCTTATTAGGGGGGTCTAGAAACCCTTAGAGGTTATCCACCAGTGTGCTAAATGTATGTATGTCTGTCTGTCTGTATACGTATATGTATATATATATATATATATATATATATATATATATATATATCAGACAAAGAAGATTACGAGTAAGAGGAGAGGAAGTATAAGGATAATACATAACATTACTATAACGACGATGGCGCAAACGGCAACAATTAATCATCGCTATATTTGGTTATCCTGCATGCCGAGCTTTAAGAACCAAGGTGCATGGCGCGAAGCGCCAATGCAGTCTTGTATATATATATATATATATATATATATATATATATATACAATAAACAGATATGCTAGAACCATCGCGCGCGCTTCGCGCGCGCTCAGGTTCTAGCCCAGGCCGGGGGCGCGCTAGAAGATCTTGGACAGCGCTATCAAGCACAGGCGCGTGACATAGTCGTGCCTCCTGAGGGCCTCTTGGGAACCTCTTGGGTCTTCGTGGGGGCATCTGAAGGGCTTCTGGGGGGTTCGCTTTTCGGGGTCCCTTGGGGGCATCAGGGTTCTCCGGGCAGTCGGAAAGTGATGTTCTGCAGTCTGAAGCAGTCAATTGGCCGTCTTGGCTGCGTGGAGGCCCAACTTGAGGCCACATTCGGGCAATCCGGAAGCCTACCGGGGCCTCCTTGAAGCAATTTTGATGCATTGAGAGCACTGTTCGGCTATCTTGGGGCCCGTGTACGTCTCCTGTGAGCCTTTTGGGGCCTGGTGGGGGGCTTTGGGGGGCCTCGTCGGACCACTTGGGGACTCTTAGGGCCTTTCGCGTTCCCCTTCTTGGGGCTCTCTTGGGCCCTCTTGGGGTCCTCTCGGTCCGTCTTGGGCGCCTCGGGCACCGTCTCGGGGCCCTCGTGGGCCGTCTCGGGGCCCTCTTGGAGGCCTCTTCGGCTATCTTGGAGCGGCCGTGGGGGCCACTTGGGCCGTCTTGGAGCGTCGGGATGCCAAAAGGCTGGGAACTCTAAAATCCATCAAAAGCCAATGGGAAAACAATGCTTCTTGGAACCTCTTCGGCCTTCTGGGGAGGGCCTCTTGGGTCTCATTTGGGGGCCTTTGGGGCTTCCTGAGAGCCTCTCGGGGTGGAAGCCTCGGATTTTCGGTTCGTCTTACCCCTCTTGGGCCCCCCTTTTCGTCTTACCCCTCTTGGGCCCCCCTTGGTGCCGTATTGGTGCCCTCTCGGGCTGTCCTGGGCCCTGTTGGAGGCCTCTTGGGCTATCTTGGATTGGTCTTGGAAGCCTTTTGGGCCGTCTTGGAGCGTCAGGGCGCCAAAAGGCTGAAAACTCTAACATCAATCAAAAACCTATGGCAAGACTTGGATGTTTGCCTCTTGGGGCCTTCGTGGGAGGCCTCTTGGATACTCTTCGGCCCCCTGGGGGGCTTCTTGGGGCCTCCTGGAGCCTGTTAGGGGCTTCTCGGGGCCTCCTGAGAGCCTCTCGGGGTGGAAGACTCGGATTTTCGGTTCGTGTCAACCCTCTTGGCTCCATCTTGGAACCGTCTTGGGGCCCTCTCGGGCCGCCTTGGGGGCCTCTGGCGCCGTCTTGGGACCCCCGTGGGCTGTCTTGTGACCGTCTTCGAGGCCTCTGGGGATGCCTTGGAGCGGAAATTGAAGCCTCTTGGGCCGTCGTGGAGCGTCAGGAAACTCAAAAGGCAAGAACTCGATAATCGATCAAAAACCAAAGGACAACATATTAGTTGTGCCTCCTGGGGCTCCTTGGGAGCCATCTTGGAGACCTCTTGGGGCGTCTTGGAGGCCTCTTGAACAGTCAGGGACCAATTCTGGGGTGATCTCGGGCGGTCATTGGTCGTTTTCGTTGTCTGGAAACGCCAGGGCCGTCTTCGGGCGACTTTACAAAGCCCCCAGCGCAACGGCAGGGCCCACGGGCCCCCCGGTGCGAGGGCCCCGTCCCGGGCCCCGCCTCGTGCCCGCGGCAGGGCGTCCCCGGGCCGTCTCGGCGCCCTCGTGGGGGCCTGTTGGGGCGACATTGGGTGTCTGAAATCCATCAAAAACCGAATCACAATCAATGATTTTGGCGTCCCTTTGGGCCATGTTGGAAGCCTTGTGGGCCGTCCGGAGACCATCTTGGGCGTGTTCGAACGGTATGTCCTCGTTTCGGGGCCTCCTGGGGGCCTCTTGCGGCCCTTTTCTTCTGTGTTGGGGCTTTCTTGGGCCGTCTGGGGGCGGCCCTGGGCTGTCTCGGCGTCCTCTTGGAAGCCTGTTTGGAAGATTTCTGGGTGTCCTGGACCATCCTCCTTCAACGTCGGCGGCACTGGCCGTAAGACTTTCTGGGAACATGATTTGTTGGGGTGTCGTTGGGCGCCTCCGGAGGCTTCGGGGCCTGACGCGTTTCTGAGCGTGGCGGCAGGTAGCGCTGCTTGGGACGCTCGTTTTTTTATCCTGGCAGGCGTTTATAAACATGGTTTGGGGAGAGGGCGGCAACCCGAGAATCATGTTCCCAGGAAGCTTTCCGGAAGCATGATTTATTCGGCTCTCTTAAGAGGGGGGGCTCTGGGGGCTTATCGAGGAACCCTTTTTGGCCTTGTCGGCAAGCCTATTGGAAACATGGTTGGGGCGGTGTGTGGAAGCCCAAGGAATTATGCTTCTGGAAAGCTCTGGGAAATACGATTGACCCGCTCTCTGGCCAGCACTTTTTGTCAGTCGAAGTGCAACGCTGGCGATTTATCATGCGGGACCCTGCGCACACGCTGGATGACGCCAGCGCAGGAACAGAGACTGAAATCCACAACAAAAAGTCTGTCGAGGCGAGGGCTGGCTTTGGGCGGACAGAAAAAGGCTTGAGAGACAGTGTCCATGGCGATCGTCAACATTACCATTGACATTAGCATGACCCGCTCTCTGGCCAGCACTTTTTGTCAGTCGAAGTGCAACGCTGGCGATTTATCATGCGGGACCCTGCGCACACGCTGGATGACGCCAGCGCAGGAACAGAGACTGAAATCCCGTAATCACGCCATTCCTATGCAGTAAGCTGGCTAGCAAGACGATTCACAATTGGCTGAGCGTGGCCACAGCACGGCGATGGACTACATGAATGAGAACATCGCCGATGAACTTAAAAATCTCTGGGGGGTATGGCTCCGCAACCTTCGAGAGCCATTTACCCCCCATCTTCCCTCGGATGTGCACATGTTTACGACCAGTGAAAGAACAGAGCCCGCCGCGACCGTGGCAGCGCAGGTGCGGGGCTTCGACCGTGCCACAGTGCTGAAAGACTAGCTTGGTTCTCTTGCGCATGGGCCCTCCAGCAGCACAGAAATCCACATCGACCACGGAGCCGCGAGCGAGAGCTCGGCGCCGAGAAGGAAAACACCAGAGGATGGAGGTCTGTGGGTTCTCCTCGCCGCAGCAGATGCCCAAATCCCAGGCCAGTTGCTGGAGGCGGCCACCAGAGTCAATGAGACTATTGGCCTCGCGCACCTGTGCGCGGTGGCTAGCAGACAGGTCAGGCAAGCCACGGTAATGCTCAGACGATCTCAGCGGCGGAGGCATGCGCCCTGATCTATCCGCGCGGGCACGAGTGGTGGTGATACACGGAGTCGCAAACCAGAGGGCCCACACCAGGCCTGCACGAAGCCAGCCAGCAATGGTGAGCACCACCTCGCGCCGGCAGAGGTCGAACTGCGGCCCCAGCAGCTTGTCGAAGGCTATGCAGGCGTAGCCCTTGCGGCGAAGGTATTTGCTCACCGGCGCAGTGCCAGCAAAGAGGTCAACGAAGACGCTGTGCTTCAGCATGGTAGCATCTGCCCGCGCCGCCCGCAGGCTGGCAGCAAGAGCCGGGCCAGCTCGCGCCCGCGGCGCTGCGCCTCCTCGCGGAGCTGCGCAGGGATGCGGTGCATCATCGAGGCCAGCCTGGCATGCTTCTCGTAGCGCCGCACGCTCTGGAACGAGCGCCAGCCGCCCCTCTTCTGCACGTCGAGAAGGGCCCGCGAGCGGGAGGACACGTCCTCCGAGGCCCCCCCGCGACGCAGGGAGTACGGCGTCACCTTCAGCTGCGCCAGGCCCAAGCCGAGGAGACAGCTGTTCCAGGCCAGGAGGAAGTCGGTGTAGTGGAACAAAAAGAGCCGCTCCCGCTCCCCCCTGTTGGCCTTCAGAAGGCGCAGCGCCGACTCCAGCAGGCGGTGGCGCGGCAGGTCCAGGGCGACGCTGGTGTCGAACTCGCCGGTCTTGCCAAGCACGTCTAGCTCGCTCGCGCGGATCAGGATGGTCCAGAACTGGCAGGCCCCCCTCTCGTTCGGCACGGGCGGCACCAGCTGTAGGCCGACGAGGCTGAGCGCCTCGCTCGGCCGCACGTACGTCTCGAACGTCAACAGCAGGAACAGCGCGTAGTCCGCCTTGCCGTCGGAGCAGAGTCGCAGGGCCATCAGCACAGCCAGCGACCGAGGGACTGGTGGGCGCGACAGCGGCTTCTCGAGCCGGCGCCACCCAGTGACCGCAGCAGTCGCCAGCGGCAAGCCCCGGCGCAGCGGGCGCGGCAGCTCGGGCAGCGCCCAGCGCACTGCGGCCAGCGTGCTGGAGGCATCCCCTTCGGGCAGCCCGCGGTCGTGCAGGAACTCCACGTACTGCTCCAGCAACAGGTCCCACTCGCTTGCAGGGAGGCGCTGAGGGGCACTGGGCACGTGCAGCCACGCCAGCAGCTTGCGCAGGGCGTTCAGGTAGTTGCTCTGCGTGGCCGTCGTCACGGCCGCGGCAGCCAGGGAGGTGATGTGGAACCCCAGCTCCTCCGCCTCCTCCGCACTGCGGGCGGCCGAGTGCAGCGATGAGCCCGGGCGCCGCCGCGCCGTCTCGCGGCGCCGCCTGCGCGCCGAGCCAGACTCCCCGCGGTAGGGGACCAGGCGGCCCGGCGCAGGGTGGCGGGTCAAGCCCAGGGGGCCAGCAGCAGCCAGCGTGCGGCAGGGCAGCCGGCCCGAGGCCGGCGCAGGCTGCAGAGGGGGCGGGCTGGCAGGGCAGGCGTGGCGGCGAGGCAGAGCAATGCCCTCTGGCCGCGGCCTCCCGAGCGCCACGCCGCCCCCCCTCTCCGGCGCCACCAAAGGGCGCAGCACCCGACTCGGGGCAGGCGGGGCCCGGCTCGGACTCAGGTTCGCCGCCGGTGCCAGCACCCTGCAGAGCAGCGGGCTCGGGCCCAGGGAGCCCCGCGGCGAAGGGCCCCGCAAAGGCCCGCCGCTTGGAGCGCCCCGCCGCGAGCTGCTCGCGAAGCCCAGCAGCGCCCGCTGGCCCGCGAAGCCGCGCCTCGGCGAGCGCGATCGGCTGGGTGAAGGGCGGGTCGCCACAATCATCCTCGAGCCGAGGCGGCGGCTGGTGGCTGCGTTCAACGTCCGCTGGGCAATCCGCTGAGGGGGCAAGTGCGGTGTGAAAGTGACGAGCATGATGAGACGAAGATGGGTCGTATCTCCTGCTGGGCTCGTCCGCCGAGTTCCACTCTGAGGGAATCCACCGAAAAGAAACACGTGCTCCAAGGGCCAAGCACATGGCACAAAACTCGCGGCACCTCCGCAGCAGGTACCACGACGAGCTCCGCCCCTTGCACGCGGTGAGGACCCAGGCCATAGAGTCCGACAAAACTAAGTGCCGCTTCTGGGCGCTCAGGCGGCTGCGGGCCAGCCGCCGAACCTGCCACAAGGCTGCCTCCGCCTCGAGCGCAAGGATCTTGTCCCTGCGCCTCCAGCGGCGCGCGGCCACCACGCCCCAGTCGCCCCCGCGCGCCAGGGCCGGCGGCACCTCCTCGAAGGCGGAGCGCAGCCCCAGCGCACGCAGCTGCTCGGGCGAGGCGTCGACAATGTCGCTCAGCGAGGGCTCAGCCTCCTCACCCTCGACCAGGCAGCGCGGGCGGCGGGAGGTGCGCAGCGCCCCACGGTAGCGCCCCCGCTCAGAGGCGCGGCCGACGCGGCCCACCTCAGCGGGGGGCCAGACCTTCTCGGTGACGCCGAAGCCATACAGCGAGGCGTCGACCGAGGCGACGGCGGGCGACCAGGGTAGGCTCATGTCGGCGACGGCGAGCGGCAGCAGCGCCCAGGCAGCTCGAAGCTCGCGCCGCACTGAGGCCCACACGCGCGCCGGCTGCCCGAAGTAGCGGTCGGCGAAGACGTACACGGCCGAAAAGATGGACAGCATCTCGGGCCGCAGCAGCATGATGGCCGAGGCGTGGCCGACGGCCCGGGCAATCTGGCGCCCTGTGCGGCGCTGACGGCCCCAGCCCAACGTGCGGAGGGCCAGCGCTACCTTCCAAAACTTCCTCGCCGTAGGCCGCCACTGCGTGCCCGTCGGGTCCAGCTCGAACCCGAGCAGCGGGGCGCCAGCAGGCTCTGGCGCGGCGTCCACTCCAGCGGCCGCCACGGCGCCCAGCATCTGCTCCAGGCGAGCGTTCGCCTCCGTGGGGCTCGTGCCAAGTGCCGCGAAGTTGTCGATGTAGATGAGAGAGGCCCCCGAGCCAGGGCAGACGGGCTCGCGAGGCACGTACTGGGCCAACCAGCGGTCCGCCGGGGCACAGGGGCGAAGTATCTCCATCATGGCATGCTGTATGAAGTAGACCGCCCATGACCAGCCCATCGGCACCACTCTCAGGCGCAGGCGCACCAAGCCGTCCGGCGGTGGCGCCCCAACGAGCCGACGAGCGGCCAGAGGCAGTGCGGCCCAGGGCACAGGCGGTAGGCCAAAGGCCTCACGCAGGTGCACTGGCAGCAAGAACTGGTAGAAGCAGCACGTGACGTCGCCCTGCGCGACGAAGAGGCGCTCCCCCGCCTGCAGCTCGATGTTGCCGAGGGCCTGCGCCGCCGCCAGTGGGACGTAGTCGGGCTCCGCGAACTCGGTGTTGGAGGCCCTTGTGTCGAAGATCAGCCTGAGGGTCCCATCCTTCTTGTAGACGAAGAAGGGCGCCACCTGTGAAAACGAAGCGCCCACCTCGAGCATGTCACGCTCGAGAAGGTCAGCCAAAAACTTCCCATAAGTGCGAGGATTGCTTGCCAGCCTTCGGTCAAAAGCCAATTTCGCCAACGAAGAAGAAGATGTGGAGCCTCTCATCAGCAAAGTGCCAGACTCACCCATCAGCAGAGAACGTGGACCCTCTGGTAGTGCAGCAGCTAGCTCCACCGCGCCAGAGGCCACGCGCGGAAGAGAGACCTTCCCGCGCTGGTAGGAGGCGTACTTCCCGCTGGCCATGTCATCGAAGCCATAGCCAGGATCGGAGCCGATCACGGCGCGAGTGGCCGAGTCGGCGGTCAGGTCCGACGGGCAGCTGGGCACGGTGGCATAGGAGCTGCGAAGCCGCTCCAGCGCGTCAGTCTGAGGCCCAGAGGCTGCTCCAGGCCGTCGAACAGCACCGCGCCCTCCCATCTCATTGAGGGTCTGCAGCCCAGCCGAGAACCATTCCAAGCCCAGCGCATCTCCTTGACGCAGCACAGGCGAGGTGGGCGCTGGCAGCGGCAGCAGGTCCCTGGGATCTGCCGCAAGACCTGGCGGCATAGCGGCGGCGCAAGCGCTCAGCCGCCTCCCCTGGTGGTGTAGAAGCGGCGCCCAGCCGGGGGGACTCCGGGGCCGCTGCAGGGTAGCACGGGTGGGTAAGGCGTCAGCCCTGCCCCCCCGAGCCAGCGCCCGGGGTGCCAGTCTGCCAGTCCTTGCCCTTCTTGTTGTCCTTGAGCTTCTTCTTGTGGTCGGCGCCGAGCGGCTGGCCAGCTCCGCCGCCGCCGCCGCCGCCGCCCGTGACCGCCGCCGCCAGAGCCCGTTCCTCACGGCCCTTGCGGCGCTCCTTGAGCACGGCGGCCTGCTCCTCCATGCGCTTCGCCACCCAGCGCTCCAGCTCGGGCGAGATGAGGGCGTAGCCCTTGGCGCGGTCGCCACCGAGGAACAAGTGCCTCTCAGCCGCGAGGCCCGCCGCCACCGATCCCTCCGTGGAGGCGCGGATGCGCTCCTGGTACCGCTCCTCCCAGAGCTGGTAGCGGCGGGCCATGCTCTCGAAGCAGGCCAGGTTGCAGATGTTGAGCTGGTCATACTGCAGCCCATGCTGGATGCACTCCGAGAGGAAGAGGTGCTCGTCGATCCCCGGGTCCGACGTGGTCGCCCCCAGCGCCTGTCTCCACCAGTGATGGCGGGGCACGGGGGCCATGCCGCTGTGGGCGAAGGCCTCGATGAGCCACTGCACCGTGCGCGGGCCCTCCACGGGCCAGGCGTCGTCCAGGACCTCCTCGCGCAGCAGGTGACGAGCTGACTCGAAGCTGCGCGTGCGCTCGCCGCGCACGTTGTACTCGACCGCCAGCGTGCGGAGGTCCTCCGCCGCGGCTGCCTCGCCCTCGCCAGCTGGCAACGGCGTCGGCGGGTCGCGGCAGAGGCGGTACCAGACTCCCTCCCGGCGCAGCAGGGCCTGGCCCGCGACGCCGAATGCGAGGTCCGAATGGCGGATGGTGATGCTCTCCCCGCGTCGGCGGGGACCCTGGTTCTCGCCGACAAACCACTCGGAGCCCACGAGGCAGGCGTGCCCCACCAGCGCGCCGGGATCATAGAAGCCTGGGTCGACGTCGGCGGCTGGCACCAGCGCGCCACGCGCGGGGGCGGACATCGCGCCAGCGTCAGCAAGGGGCGCGGGCTCCCGCCCTCCACCCTCGGCCGCCGGAGGCGCGCCGGCCCAGCCAGCCAGGTAGGCCTCGGCTCTCCGCCGGAAGGCGCTGCCGTGAGCGATGTCCCCCGGGCGGAAGGCGTAGCGGAAGATCTTCGGCCCGTAGAGCCGGCTCGGGATGCCGCCAGCCACACCACTAGGCAGAGCAGCCTCGTAGTCCTCCAGCAGCTCCTCATAGACGTCGCCGTCGGGCGTGAGCACCACGTGGCCCCCGACGGTGCGCCGCAGCACCAGGCGCTCGTGCCAGACCCCCTCCGACGCGTCGAACAGGGCCCAGAAGCGCCTCCCGGCGGCCACCGCGAGGTCATCTGCCATCAGGCGGACGGTGGAGCCCCACCCTCAAGCCGGCCGCGAGCCCCCGCCGGCAGCGTCAGCTGCTTGACCCCCTCCAGCCCTGCGGCCACCACGAGCGGCGACGCCGGCCTCGGTGGCGCCCACCAGCGGGCCGCGAACCAGCCCGTCACAAGCTGCCCCGCCGCGACGGCGAGCAGCTGGGCGGTGGACCAGCCAGGAGACCCGCAGTCGCACTGGCAACCGCAGATGGGCGCCGGCGGCGCGGAGCGGGCCAGCAGGCAGAATGAGCCGATGGAGAAGGCACAGGCGACTGCGGACGGGTCGACCGGCATCCTTGTCCGGACAGAAAAAGGCTTGAGAGACAGTGTCCATGGCGATCGTCAACATTACCATTGACATTAGCATTACCGAGGTCTCTTGGGGGCCCGCAGGGGGCTTCACTGGGGGGCTTATTGGGGCTTCCGGGGGGCCTCTTGGGAGCCTCACGGGGCTTCTTGGGAGCCTCTTGATGGCCTCCGGGGGCGTCCTAAAAACCTCTCGAACCAGAAACCTTGAAACGTCGCGCTCTTCGGGCCCTCTTGGGTCGCTCTTGGGGCTCTCTTGGGGCGCTCTTGAGGCCCTCTTGAATTGTCTGGGGAGCCTCCTGGGCCGTCTCTGGTCTTTCCTTGGGAGCCTCTTCGGCCGTCTTGGAGCGATCTGAAGGGCCTCTGACGCCGTCCAGGACCGTGGGGAGGCGGAACATGCGAGAGCGAAAAAATGCGGGGCCCTTTGGAAGGGGCCTCTGGAGGCGCTCTCGGGGCGTTTTGGCGGCGTCGTCGGCCGTCCTGAGGCCATCTTCGGCGTGTCCGGGGCCTCTTGGGGCTGTCTTGGCAATCTTTAGGGTCCTCTTGGCGTGTCGTGGCGTGTTTGGGAGCGGGCCTGGGCAGTCCCAGGAGCCCTGGGGGCTGTTGACTGCTAGGTGTTGTCTTGGAGGCGGAGGCTGTTGAGTGCAGGATGGCGCGTGCTACGCGGAAGGCGGGCGAGCGGCCGGGCGGGCGGCGGGCGGGCGGGTGGCGGGCGGGCGGGCGGGCTGTCGGGTCGGGATTTGACTGAATTCCTTAAGGGTGCTCTCTTGCAGCGGGAGCTTGTTGAGTACAGGGTGTTGCCTTGAAGACGGGGGCTGTTGACTACAGGATGTTGTCTTGGAGACTGAAGCTGTTGAGTACAGAGTGGTGCGTGCTACGCGGACGGCGGGCGGGCGGCGGGTGCCCTAGGTGGTGGGTCAGAGGCCTCATGTGAATTGGTTTGGATCTCGTGGTTGGCCTGACGGGGACGTCGTGAAGGCAGTTTCGCAGCTTCTCGGTAGCCATTGTGAGACCGTTGTGGGACCTCCTCGGGGCTGTTTTGTGGCCTCTTGAGGCTTGTTTGGGTCTCCTGGGTGCCTCTCGGGGGCCTCCTGGGGCCTCTGGAGGGCGCCTTGGGGCCTCCTTGGGCACTCTTGAAGCTTGAAGTGGAAGGGTCGAATGTTGGAGTCGTGGTCCCCCTCTTGGGCGCATCTTGGGGCCATCTTGGGGCTCTCTTGGGCGCCTCTGGGGCCGTCTGGGGGCCCTCTTGGGCCGTCTTGGGGCGCTCTTGGGGGCCTATGGAACCGGCTTGGAACGTCAGACAGCCGAAAAGGCTGGAAGGCCCAAATCTCTCCAAAACCTTCGTAAAATGTGTCATTTCAGTCTCTTGAAGCGCTCTGGAGAAGCGTCTTGTAGCGTCGTGGAGTGTCTTGGGGGGCCTCTCGGGCCGTCTTGGGCCTATTTTGGGCGTCCTGGAACGGTCTTTCGGCGACTCGGGGCCCGCTTGGGCGGTCTGTGGAGCCTCTGGAGGCCCTCCTGGACTACATATTTTGGACCTCCCCGGCCGCCCCGTCCTCCCATGGGGGGTCGGGGCAGCTGTTTGTAGGCCCCGGGCCTGCCCCCCAGGTATATATATATATATATACACACACACACACAGATATCCTCGGAGATCTGGGTCGCCTCGCAGAGCGCCGCGAAGACCTTGTGGGGTGGAGGCGCGAGCGGCTAGCCTTGGGCCGTCTTGGGCCATCTTCGGGCGATCTTGGCCGTCTTGGGTGCCTCTTCGGACCTTGGGCCGTCTTGGACGCATCTTGGGCCCTATTGGGGCCATCTTGGCCGTCTTGGAAGCGTCTTGGATGCATCGCGGAGGCCACCTTGGGGCATCCCAGAAGTATTGAGGCAATGTGTTGTAAACGTTAGCCTTTGGGCGAAGGAAGAGAAAACTGCATTAGCATAAATGTTCGACGGGCCGCGCGGATTTCTTGGATCTGCGCCAGACCCTCCCACCTGGCGCGCGGAGGGCGCCAGGGGGGCCCAGCGCCGATCCGAGAAATCCGCGCTGAGCTCCGAAAGCCTGCGGGTTGGCCGCGGGTGACCGCGGTCGCGGCCTCGGCAGGGTACCCTTGCGTCCTGTTGCTTGCAGAAACCACGTTGCAGTCGGACGAGATCTTGCGCCCTGCCGCGTGCCCCGTGCAGTCAGCCCCGCCTGTACGCTCATGCTGTGTCTTCTTCGCGTGGACGCTGGGCCCCGGGGGCTGCAGGCGCGAGCGGCCAGCACGGGCGGCGGCGGTCGCGGGGCCTCCCGCGTCGCCGCGGGGCCGGCTCGCAGAGGCCTGGGCCGTCGCGCCAGCGAAGGCGTGGCGCACCTCGGGAGGGGCACCCGGGCCGCCCTGCGGGCACCCGCCCGACGACGACGACGACGACGACGACGACGACGACGACGACGACGACGACGACGACGACGACGACGACGACGGGTCTCTCGCGGGGCTCCTCCTCCTCCTCCTCCTCCTCCTCCTCCTCCGCCTCGTCTTCCTTCTCCTCCTCCTCCGCCTCGTCTTCCTTCTCCTCCTCCTCCTCCTCTCCTCCTCCTCCTCCTCCTCCTCCTTTCCCTCCCCTCCCTCCTCCCCTCCTCCCCTCCTCCTCCTCCTCCTCCTCCTCCTCCTCCTCCTCCTCCTCCTCCTCCTCCCCGCCCCCGCTTGGGACGCTCATGCCGGATTGCTTCGGTCGCGATCGATAGCAACCGATCGGCAGTCCTGATCGGTCGTGATCGACTCTGAAGCAAGTCTGTCGCGACCGATCCCTGAATCAGAAGCAAAATTGGGAACGACCGATCTCATCGGTCACGGTCAGAAAACTCCTATATCCAATGATCAGGGGGAGGGGAGTGGGGCTGTCGATATCGGGGGGGGAGAAGTAGGGGCCGAGGAAGGGCCAAGGATGTAGAGGAAGAAAATGGGGACCCTGACCAAGACTGAACGCGGAAGCCTCTTGTCGATCTGGGTCACCGTCCATCTTTTGTTTGTGTGAGGTCACAGTCCGTCGAACAGTAAACTGTCCACGGATTCAAGGGCCAGAGTAAAGCCGAACTATTTCGGCGCGTGTTCCTAACTGTTCGCCCCAACCGGCGATCTGTGCGCTGGTGTAAATGGAGTCACAGGGAAGATAATAAGCATCGGGACGACGATTACCGCTGCGAAGCATCTTCAAAAGGAGTGGTCTAGAAGCATCGGCTGGGAGCGTCGCCCCGCCGTGCGTGGCGACCGAGCCACTGCGGAGACCCTCTGAGGCCACGGCGTCGCCAGCTGCCTGCTGGCACTGAGCCCTGCTAAGAACAAACGAAAAACCCCACGTGCGGGAGGGCATCTACCCTTGCGGGCATCTACCCTCGGGAAAACGTTGACAAATACAATCGGCGTGTCGACAAAGCTTGTTTCAGCAAACCTCCCAAAGCCGCCTCAATACATCGACACTGCCGACATCGATTCCTGGTCGCGTTCTGGGGAGTGTATTTCGAGTTGACAATGCTTCTTTATTGCCGAAGACGTCGCACAAGACGATTGCACATCAGGTCTCACCAACTACATGTGTACAGCCAGCTCAGCCAAACGTGCTCGGGGATTGAGTTGTACCTTGAATTTTACTTTGCTCTGAAGCTGTAGGCCTGTCATAACTCGCGGCGTGAGGCGTCGGGGATTCACAACCAATGAAAAATCGGTTTCGCCCCCCCCCCCCCCCCCACCCCTGGCTCACCGCCCCTCGCCAAGCGAGCCGCGCACTGGGCCGCGTCCGCCGGTGTTGCCGTTTGCAGCCCCAGCGACTTACAGGGGTCGCGCCCCTGTCTGCAGCGTCCGCTGCCCGACTTGGGGGTCTCTGCCGTCGCGGCTCACCTCGCGCCTTGCCGCCCTGGCGATTGCTGGCCCAGACGGCTCCGCATAGCGGCCTGTCCCCTGCCCTCTCCCAATGGGTGCCCACCTTGGCGCCCCCCCCCCGGTCAGCTCCCCGCGTAGCGGCTCCCGGCCGGTCCCCGGCCGTGATGCCGTGCACCAGCCCATGGGCTGGCGCTCCCTTCCTACGCCCCGCTCTCGCCTCGCGCGCGGCGCACCAGGCCAACTCACGCGTGCGGTCGCTTTGCAGCTCCTGCGCCGCACGGGTGGTCTTGCCCCTGGCCGCAGTCCCGCTGCCTGGCTTGGGGGCCACCGCCGTTGCGGCTCGCTTCCCACTTCGCCTCTCGGCCCCAGCTTTGATGGGCTGCTGGGCTCGTCCTTTCCCCTCGCGGGGCCCCGCCCGTGCGCCTCTGGCACTGGGCGACGCCGAACTCTTTGCTGTGATGCCGTGCGCCGGCTACGGGGTGGCGCTTTTCCTTCTCCGGCGCCTCCGACCCCCCCCCCTCCGTGCCCTGCGTTGGGTCGGCCAGCCGCGCTGTTGCTTCGCCGCCGGCCTGCTCCGCCACCCGCCGCCTGGGCTCCTCGCAACCACTACAACACTGACACAGTTCCCCTGTCCCCTGTCTGCCGCCAGCTCCCGCACCGCTGCCTCCTCCCCGCTGGCGCCCGGTGCTCCTGCCGCTGCTGGCCCGCCCCCTGGGTGTACTGCGACGCCGTCCCGCAGCTGTTGCTGAGGGCCACCCTTCAGCCCAGCCGCGCCCACGCATCCGCCGCAGCCTCGCCGCGTGTGAGTGCCTCCGCGCCCTGTTCGCTTCTCTGCGCCCGCCGTCCTTCCCCTCCCCCCCTCTTGCATGCGGGCTGATTCGCGATGCCGCGTCCCGGTCTCGCCCCGACGCGCGTGCGGGTCGCCTCTGCCGCGCTGCGACGGACAAACAAAGTCGGCAAAGCGTCTCGGAACCTCCATCGCCGCAAACGAGAGGCTCTCGCCTCGAGGGAGGGTGGGGCCTCGAGGCAGGAGTGCTCTCAGTACTGGCGCGCAGCCCGGTCCACGTTCGCCTTGCAGATAGGGCAGTCCGTGCACCCGCGCAGCCACTCGTCGACACAGGGCGCGTGGACGAA